GATGGTACATAACAACAACAACAACAATGCATATATTACACCTTTTTGTAATTCATTTGTATTGCTCTAACTCTGGACTCTAGTCTTTATGTAAAGGCAAATAATACCTAAGGTCACGTTGTCCCCACTATCAAGTCATAAGTTTAAAAAATGAAACCAATCTAACCTTCCTTTGCCAAGAAATTGTCTTGAGTTGTTTGCATTACCCTATCCATGCTGAAAGCTTATACCTTTAATGATTTTATCTGTTCCAGTAAATAGGTTTAAAATATTATCATATTCATTTTGATGCCAATTAATGCACTTAAGGTTTTTTTATCGATGTTATTTCCGTAGTATATTAACATTGAGGGGACAATATATAGCAATTATTTTAGTTTTAGGAAGCACTTAACTAGATTAAGAACTGTAAGTAGCAGTATCTATTCAGTGTCTTTTGCTGCCAGTGTTCATCTTGGTAACTACAGTATGCCCCTTATTCTGGCCTTTGTCTACTTTGATCCTTCGTTAGTTTCTCCTTCTTGTGCTTTGCCTCTCATATCCAAGGGAGGGAGGTTAGTTCTTCAGAATTGGCTTTTGGCTATGAGCTGCCCTCCATCACTGTGACAAGCATGAAAAACGTAAATGAGACCATCTTCTAAGTTCGTTGCTCTAGTGCCTTTAGGAAAATTCTGCTTTTGCAGTTACCTTGTTTTTAATAAATTATTGTTCATTTTGTCATAGGAGGCTATTCTGCAGACCACCCTGTAATTAAAATCTTCTGGAGAGTTGTAGAAGGGTTCACTGATGAAGAAAAGCGCAAGTTGCTCAAGTTTGTGACAAGTTGCTCTCGACCGCCTCTCTTGGGATTTAAGGTATACAACTTTCATGCCATTTGCTTTAAAAAATAAATTGAAAGTAAGTTGCAGACATCGTATTCCTTTGTCCCCTAAATATTATAGCACATATTTTCCAACTTCCAATGAATAAAAACATTCTCTTATGTAAACAGTTAAGTAAGCAAAAATAAGGAACTTTAACAATGATAACAATGTTATTCTCTAATCCATTGGTTCTTGAAGTATGGTCCTGGGACCATCAGCTTCAGCATCATAGGAGAATGTTAGAAATGCACCTTTCAGGCCCCACAGAGGCCTCTGAAACAAGAAACTCTAAGGGTAGGGCTCAACAGCGTTTTAAATGCTGTTCAAGTATTCTGAGAGCCACGGATCTAAATCTTTAAAGAACTTTGGTGGCACTGTGGTAAGGCATTGGGCTACTAACCAAAAGGTCAGTGGATCTAACCCACCAGCCGCTCTATGGGAGAAACATGAGGCAATCCATATAATTTACAGCCTGGGAACCCCTGTGGGGCAGCTCTACTTTGTCCTATAGAGTGGCTATGAGTAGGAGTCAACTTAATGGCAATGAATTTGGTCTTGGTTGGGCATAAGAAGCTATTCCAGACTCATCTTCTGTTCCTCTTTCCAGCCCTGGAATCTGCATTTTTCTAAAGACTTTGGTATATGTTATAGAAGAACAGTATTAGGAAACCCAGTCTGGATCCCAGGTGTGCTTCCTCCTGGATCAACTGCCTCTAGCCCTTTTCAGCACACAAAACTAGGAAAGTGTGTGTGTGTGTGTGTGTGTGTGTGTGTGTGTGAATATTTTAGTTCTTACTGATGCTTCCATTTTAATGCCACTGAGTTGTTCCTTATCTCCTCTCTCCCCCCATTTCTGTCTTGTGTCCCTAACAGTAAGAACCCTGGCTCCCAGTATCATCAACATATTTACTCATTTGTTCAGTCCTTCAATATACAGAAAGAAATTTCAGAATTCTTGCCACTGTAAAAAACAAGCTTAGTAAAGTTGAAGCTGTATTTGCTCTCTTTGTGTTTAGACTGATAGTATATTATCAAAATATTGTTTTCAGAGGTTGCATGGACTAGTTCTTTTTATTTGTTTGGTTTTTCCTTAGTATAGTTATATAGTATATTTGAAATAGAGTTAAATTCAATTGTTTCCATTTGTATTCAGATTGTCACTCCTTCCCCCTTTTCCTTCTATATCGTTCTCACCTACCTTGTATAGATACGTAAACCAGTGACATCTCAATCCTGATTTGTAGGAAATTTTTGTCATCCCAGTGTGAGAGATTTTTCTTAGTAACAGCTTATATAACAAAAAAAAAAAGTGTGAAGAAAGAAGAAAAACTCTGAAACCTTGAGCTACAGCAACTTTCTCAACTAAAATGGGGAATTAGACTCACTGGTTCCCAGGAATACTTTCCCCAAAATTATATGATTAGTATTAGCAAACATTTATCAGCCATCATTCCAAATTTTAGGAGTTCTGGTGGTGTAGTGCCTAAGGCATCTGACTGCTATCCAGAAGGCTGGTGTTGGTTCAAACCTACCAGCCACTCCTTGGAAGGAAGATTGGGCAATCTACTTCCATAGAGATACCACAATACCACGTCGGAAACCCAAGGAGGGGTCACTATGCGTCAGATCTAACTCGACAGAAGTGAGTTTGGGTGGGGTTTTTTTTTTTTTTTGATATTCCAAATTTTATCTAATCCCCTAATAATAAAGTAATGTTAGGATATGCTACAATTCTAACCTAGCTTTGATCTTAAATTTTAAAGGAAAGTTTTAGCAAAATGTTGTTTAGTTAGCTGTGGGAGCAAAGACCTTAGACTTAATCCCTGTGCAGGCCAGTTAACATAATTATGTTTAATAATGCTCCCTTACTGTGTCACATATGTATGATGTTAGTTGAAAAGGTGACCAGGTAAAAGAATCTGGGTGAATCAACACAAATGAGTTTTAATGCTGATGGATTCACAGAGAGTACATTCCTTAGTAAAGATGTGTCAGTGGCATTATCTTTCAGTATGTAAAGTATTTTTTACCAATTTGTTGTTAAGAAATTGGTTTGTGGGTTTGTTTTTTTTTTTTTTTTGGTTCCATTACTGATAGCTGTCACATTAGATGTTGGTAGTATCTGAAAAAACTAGACTCGCATCTGTTTGATGTTGACAGTTAATGTGGTCACGTCTCTCCTATTCATGTATAAGAAAGAGGAAAAAACAGAGCATCCCTAGAATAACTTATAAGACAGAGAACTGCCCCATAGGGTTTCCAAGTCTTTACAGAAACAACTGACACATCTTTCTCCTGCAATGCAGCTAGTGAGTTTGAATTGCCAACTCTTTAGTTGGCAACCGAGTGCTTTAACCACTGTGCCACTCAGGCTTCTCTACATTAGTCATTAAGGAAATACAATTTAAAACAAGCATCAAATACCACTCTCTACCCATGAAAATGGCTATATTCAACAGAACAGTGAGTATGTAGAGAAATGGGAACCATTTTAATGACTGCTGGAAAAGTTTGACAGTTATTTTTGTTATGCTGTTAATTGTGGTTAGTTCCTGTTAGGTTGGTTCTGACTTATACCAACCCAATATACAATAGAGGGAGCTCTGGTGGCATAGTGCCTAAGGCATTTGACTGCTAACTAGAAGGCAGGTTGGGCAATCTACTTCCATAGTGATACCACCTTGGAAACCCAAGGAGGGGTTGCTATGAGTTGGATCCATCTCGACTGCAGTGGGTTTGGTTTGTTTGGATATACAACAGAATAGAACACTATCCAGTCCACCACCATCCTCAAAGCATTGGTATATTTGAACCCATCATTGCAGACACTCCATGCCAATCCATCTTATTGAGGGTCTTCCCCTTTTTCACTGACCCTCTACTTTACCAAGCATCCTTCTCCAACAAATGATCCCTCCTGATAATGTGACCATAGTGCTAGAGACAAAGCCTCACAATCCTTGCCTCTAAGAAGTGTTCCACCTGCACTTCTTCTAAGACAGATTTGTTAGTTTTTCTGGTAGTCCATAGTTTATTCGGTATTCTTCGTCAACATCATGATTTTAATGCATTATTTCTTCTGTGGTTTTCCCTATTCATTGTCCAGCTTTCTCATGCATATGAGGCTGTTGAAAATACTGTGGCTTGGGTTAGGCGCATCTTAGTCTTCAAAGTGACTTACTTGCTCTTAAACACTTTAAAGAGGTCTTTTGTAGCAGATTTGCCCTGTGCAATATGTCATCTGATTTCCTGACTGCTGCTTCCATGGGCATTGATTATGGATCCAAGTAAAATGAAATCCTTGACAACTTCAGTATATTCTCCATTTATCATGATATTGCCTATGGGTCTAGTTGTTAGGACTTTTGTTTTAATGTTGAGGTGTAATCCATAGTCTGTAGTCTTTCATTTTCATTAGTCAGTGCTTCTAGTCTTCTTCACTTTCTTTCAGCAAGCAAGGTTGTATAATCTGCATATTGCAGGTTGTTGATAAGTCTTCCTCCAATTCCAGTGCCATGTTCTTCTTCTTATAGTCCAGCTTCTTGGATTATTTGCTCAGCATACAGATTGAATAAGTGTAGTGAAAGGATACAACCCTGATGTACACTTTTCCTGATTTAAAACCATGCAGTATCCCTTTGTTCTATCCAAACAGTTACCTCTTATATATGTACAGGTTCCTCTTGAGCACAATTAAATATTCTGGAATTCCCATTCTTCACAATGTTAGCCATAATTTGTTATGATCCACACACCTGGATGCCTTTGCATAGTTAATAAAGCAAAGGTAAACATCTTTCTGGTAATTCTCTGCTTTCAGATAAGATCCATCTTACATCATCTATAATATCCCTCATTCTACATTCCCTTCTGAATCCAGCTTGAATTTCTGGCAGGTCCCTGTAGATATAGTGCTACAACCATATTTTAATTATTTTGAGCAAAATTTTACTTGTGTGTGATATTAATGATACTATTTGATAATTTTGCATTCTGTTGGATCACTTATTTTGGAATGGGCACAAATAAGGTTCTCTTCTAGTCAGTTGACCAGGTAGCTGTCTTCCAAATTTCTTGACATAGACAGTTGAGTGCTTCTAGTGTCACATACGCAGACGATACAACTTTGCTTGCTGAAAGTGAGGATGACTTAAGGCACCTACTGATGAAGTTTGAAGAATACAGTCTGCAGTGTGGATTACATCTCAACATAAAGAAAACAAAAATCCTCACAACTGGACCAATGAGCAGCATAACAATAAATGGAGAGAAGATTGAGGTTGTCAAGGAATTCACGTTGCTTGGTTCTACAATCGATGCCAACGGAAGCAGCAGTCAGGACATTAGACGACGTGTAGCATTGGGAAAGTCAACTGCAAAGGAACTGTTTCAAGTGCTGAGGAGCAAGGATATCTCATTGAGGACTAAGGTGTGCCTGACACAAGCCATGGTATTTCCAGTCGCCTGGTATGCATGTGAGAGCTGGACAATGAATAAGGAAGACCGAAGAAGAGTTGATGCTTTTGAGTTGTGGTGCTGGCGAAGAATGCTGAAAGTACCGTGGACTGCTAAAAGAACTAACAGATCTGTCCTGGAGGAAGTGCAGCCAGAATGCTCCTTGGAAGCAAGAATGGCCAGACTTCGTCTCACCTATTTTGGTCATGTTGTAAGAAGGGACCATTCCCTGGAGAAGGATGTCATGCTTGGTAGGGTGGAGGGTCAACGAAAGAGGGGGAGGCCTTCAAGGAGATGGATTGATACAGTGGCTGCGATGATGGGCTCAAGTATAGCAGGGATTGTGGGGCTGGTGCGGGATCAGGCAGTGTTTCGTTCTGCTGTGCATGGGGTCGCTATGAGTCGGAAACGACTCGACGGCACTTAACAACAACAGTGTCACATCCATTTGTTGAAACTTATCAGTGGGTATTTGATCAGTTTCTGGAGCCTTGTTTTTCACCATTGCCTTTGGTGCAGCATGGACTTCTTTCTTC